GGAAAGGAGGAGGGCATTGGGAGGGGAAGGGACATTCAGTATGAAGCCAAACCAGAAAGTTTGTTTTGTGGAAATAGGGCAGAGGTCAGGGAGAAAATATCCAAGCTTCCTTTTATTTTGTGAGTTTAATAGAAAATARTCAGCTAAGAAAGGGAGTTTGTGGGGATCTGAGGGAGTGCAAAGGCTGTGAGGGAGAGACTGCCAGGTTTGGGGGACATGGAGACAGGGAAAAGGGTTCCTTCCCTGAGATTGTGGGAGTGCTGGGAATGCTCCCAACTCATTCCAGGGGAGATGGGACACCACTCCTACAAAATCTGGGATCCTGTGGGATGTATTGCTCTGTGGGGAAGGACAGATCAAAGGAGTGATGAAGAGCAACTTTGCTGTTGGGAAAATGACATTGTGGAGTGTCCAGAAGATAAAACTGGTGTGGAACAAGTCGTTCTTTCTGTAAAACTGGAATTATTCTCAAGGAAAATAAAATTCCTGGAATGAGGAATGAAATCTCAAGCATGGTAAAAGGACAGCCTTGGGCTGCTCCTGAAACATTTCATTGCATTTATTTTGTTTACAGTATTCTTTCTGAGTATTTTTTMTTTACTGAGGAAATGCAAGAAAAATGTCCACTTATCATTATTTGGAAAATTTACAACAAACCGAAATGTTTGCAGAGGTTTGACACACTGGATTTGTGCTTGCACTTTTTAAATGGAAAGCTTGGGACTGTGCTTTATCTTTTCAGTTTTTCTCATGTACTGGTTTTTATTTCTTTATTTTTTAACAAAATCAGTTTAAACTGAGCAGATGTTCCTTGTAGATGGAAGTTCTACTCTGTGGAAATCCAGCACCCTGTGTGTGCTGGATGAGCAGTTGCAGAGGGTGAGGATTGCTCCGGTTGTTCAGCCAGTGGTGTGGGGTTAATGTACTTTTTTTTTTTTAATTTTGTGAAGCTGTTAATGAGCCCTGATTAGACATTCCAGTTGCTCTTTATCTGGGAATAATTCTGATACTCAATCAAGCAAGGGGGAATAAAAAAGGCACCTGAAACCTGCACTAATCACTTGACTTAATGAGCTACATCTTCAAGGAACCCCAGTGATTTGGAGTGTCTTCCCAGGATTACTGTGCAGATCTTTTGGACCTGTTCCATTCAGTAAAACACCCTCTGGAAGCCTTCCTGTTTTTGAGAGAGAGTTAGGAATTTCTCCATCCCATTGACTTAAAATCACATCTTCAAACAGCTTCATATGAAATATTCAGCAGCCTCAGGAGACAGGCTCAATATAAAACATTAAGGTAACAGATTTAATATRAAAAATCAATTTCAAGATCTTTCAAAATACAATGCTTTGCATTGCCTCTGATTGCCAGCAAGAATTTGGCTGAGGGCTGTTTCTTGATCCATCCTGCAAGTCTGACTTGCTCCATAATCATTACTTTTTTGAGTTTTAAATAATCAGCTTTTATTATTAAAAACTTAATCAGCTTATGTTGATATATCAGGAACTGTTCTGACACAGGCATTTCTCAAAGAACTCCTGATGTTCTGGTATTTACAGCTGCCTTATCAAGGTTTGATCTTGGCAAGTCAGTATCAGTGAAATGCTCTTTATTTATCCATAAAATCCTCCTTTTCCCTTAACTGTTTGCACCTCCCTCAGCACCAGTTTAGGGTTCCAGTGACATTTTTTTATTTCCCAGTCACAGTTCAGGTGCCTGGATCAGCTGTGCAGCACTAACCCAGCTGATATTGCTCCTCCCTAATTGTGATATGACTTTAATTAATATCCAGATTTATGGGAATATATTAGAAAAGTGAAGGGAAAACTCAGTGGTGAAGATGTTAAAAGTAAATAATTAACAGAGCAGCCTTAAGGTGTACACGAGTCTAAACAATGCAAATCCATGTAACTATGGAGTGGATACAGGAAATATTGGAAATTCCAGTGCTGGCAGAACATTGCAGGGAATGAGGATCCCCAGCCAGGGGTGAGCCTGCATTATTGCAGTTCTGTTCCTGAGGGTCTCCCCTGCCAGCTCTGCACACCCAGATCACACTTATTTCATGATTTCTGGGCATTTTCCTTCAGACTTCTGCAATATTCCTGGGGAAATCTGGGAGAGCTGCACAAAACAAAAGCTGGTAATTCATGAGATTTTTAGAAAATGAACCCAAGCAGGAATCTGACTCCTGCTCATTTAAACTTTTACCCGTGGCACAATTAGTGCAGGTTTCTGCAGTATATAATATTAACACACACYTCAGTATATACTGAGTAATGGTATTTTATGCTCTGATATTTTGTTAGTAATATATTTGGCATCAATAGGCAGTTTTCTTTCTTGGAGGACTGATACTGCTCTATGTATTTATGTCCTAGTTTATCTTTAGAAAAATGTATATTAATAATATGGATTTTTTAATGCAAAACTTCCTCTGCTAAACCACAAAAAACCAAAAAAAAACCAAACCCCCAAAACAAAAAACTCAACAAAACAAACAAAAAAACCCAAAACAAACAAACCCCCCCCACAAAAAATCTCAAAAAAAAAAGAAACCCCCCAAAACAAAACAAACGAAACAAAAAAATCAGGAAACAACCCAAAAAACCACCCCCAGAAAAGACCACCAAAAACCCAACCAGGTAAAACATCACTGAGCAGAATTTGTTTCATTGTTCATGACACCTTTTTTTTTTCTTCTCTGAAATGAAAATAACACAAATTGTTGTCACCAACACGGCTCTGCAGTGCCACAATTTTTATTGGAGTTGTGTGTGAGCTACACAGGGTGTTCTGAATAGAAAGGAACAGAAATCTCATTGCCCATTTTGCATTATGGGCCTTATTCCTGTGTGAAAACCATTTTCATGGGAAAAATGAATATATGCACAGTTCTCAAYTGAAAGTTCTTATTTCATTGCTGGTTTTATCTTAGGCAAATAATCACATTCTCAAAAGATCTACAGAGCACCTTTTGGAGAACTTAAATTCAGTTGGCTCTTTGAGGAACTCTGCCTCTTTAATTTCTGACAGCTTGAAGGACGCAGCAAAACCATCTTGGAAGAAATGTAAAATTTTACTTTTGCCCCAGGAATTATTTTATTGCTGATTAAAACGTTACACAGCACCATGATTAGGCCCAGCTTTTTCCATTAATTGGCCTGCACTTGTGATATTACAAATGGACTGTAATATTTTGTGTCTGCARTAGCATTGAGGGAAATTAAACTTGAGAACTCAGATGTGCTCTTTGCTAACAATTCAACAGCAGCAAAGTGAATTTTTCAGTCCTTCCTTTCCCTGAGAGCCTGGGAGTGGGATTATTTTGGACTTTCTTCCAGCACTTAAATTTAACTTTTTATGTGAAATCTGCCTGCTGACAGGAAAGGCTGCTGCAGGTTCCTAAGGCAYCTCTGTAATTGCAAATATAAAATTCAGCAGAGCATTAAAGAAATCTCACTTCAGAGTTAAATAAGGTGAATAATGGAATGAGAAAYGCAGAGCCCTTAAAGCCTGCCCTGCTGGCACCCGCTCCTGGGCGGRTTTGTCACCTGTGTGTCACTTGTGGGGTCAGGAGTGACAAACCTTTGCCAGGGACAACCCAGGCTGCCTTTGCTTTGGAGTGGGGCTGCCCAAAGCTGCAGAATGTGCCCAGCCAGGGCTGTAAATCTGTGCAGGTGAGGGCTGGGCACAGCTGGGTTTGGTGCCACCCCAGGGATGGTGTTTGCAGGGCAGCAGGGCAGGGCTGTGCTCGGCGCTCCTGCCCGGGCTCATTCCTCGCTCCTGGCGGTGCAGGCGTGGCTGGGCCGGACAATTGTCCTTCATTGCCGCAGTTCACCGGGCTGGGTCAGCAGGAGATCACCGGGCTGGGTCAGCAGGAGATCACCGGGCTGGGTCAGCAGGAGATCACCAGGCTGGTCAGCAGGAGATCACCGGGCTGGTCAGCAGGAGATCACC